GTTGTTAAGTGAATTTGGCTTCCCCAATGACTTTGCTTGTCAGAATGTTGCAAAAAGTGATGACATACACAGACCCCAGGACATTGCAACGATCATAAATATGAGTCAGTTGCCAAGCATCTAAATTTTGATCACATGACCATGGGGACGCTGCAATGGTCATGTGAAAACTGGTCACAAGTCACTCTTTTCAGTGCCATTGTAACTTCGCACAGTCACTAAATGAACTGTTGTAAGTCGAGGACTACCTTTATTACAAAGCCTCCTATGGGATACTCACCTTTCATTTCAAGCTCCACAATTTGCTGCTCAAAGCCCTTGGTACCAAAGTTCGCAGTAATGTCAGAAACATTGAGGTAAGTATAAATCTGGGTCATTATTTCCCTGAGCTTTTCTCCAAATGGGTCCTGGAGATGATAAAATGAGAAAGGTGGAGTGGGAGAAATGTTAACCTTCTCATCCACACTGGCTCATTCATTTCCCCCCCCCAACAGTTCCTTAAGAGATTCCTGGTGATCTTACCTGAAGCCTTGGTTCCGTCAGATCGTATTGTTTCTTAGGACATGGAACATGATCATCAAGAGAGGGATTCTGTTTATCGATTGACATAATTCTTTCGGCGTCTAGGTTAGCGCAGATCTGGAAAGAATGATCACAGCTGTGTGACTACTTCAGGAAATAGGCTTAGGCCAAATGCCAGTTGGAATGCCTTTAAGTCAGGGTTGTCAAACTCGATTTCATTAAGGGCCGCATCAGGGTTGTGTTTGACCTGGGGGGGGCAGGGAGGGGCGTGGTTAGATTGACATGACTTGTGTCGGCGGCGCCTGTGGTGGCCCAAGCACTCTGCCATTGAAAACGGGCTCCTGAGCTCTGTTTTCGGCTGAGACGGCTTCCTGCAACCCTCTGCCAGTAAAAACGGAGCTCGGGAGCGCTGCCCGTGGCCCTCCATTTTTGGCTGGGATGACCTCCTGGCAACCCTCTGCCAGCAAAAATGGATACCCTCTGTCAGCGATATAGGGCTTATACTGGGCACAGTAGACAATAAATAGGTCTTATTTTCAGGCCAGGTCTTATTTTCAGGGAAACATGGCATGCTGTTTGAAAATCCCAGTATCAGTATGAAAGAGAACTGTATTTGCAATGCAGAGCAACCTCCAAACTTATGATTATGCAGAGAGAGAGAGAGAGAGTGAGTGAGGGTGGGAGAGAGAGGGGGGGGAGAGGGAGAGGGAGAGAGAGAGAGAAGAACCCAGAAAACTTCCAATATCTGAGCCAAATGTCTTCCATCAGACTCACCTCCAGGATGTGGGCTTTAGCTGCTTCCACAGTATTTGAACTTCCAGTACCCAGAGAGGCGGTGAGTCCCAAAATCTGAGGTAAACCCTGTTGGCCTTTCAACTTGTAGTCCAAGTAGTTCTCCATAATCTTGTTATAAACAGTTCCTTTGTGAGTGTGGTGACACTCATCAATCACCAACAGAGAGAAATCTGCACAACATATAGAAAATGGTCATCAGCTTTTGTGCTCATTATAGTGCCTCCTTCTTTTAATAGACTGCTTGTGGGAATGGAATGTCCTTATTCGGGAATATCTGTTGGACTGGAGAATACAGGTAGTCTTTGACATACAAAAACTCATTTAGCGACCATTAAAAAAAAAGTGATTTAGGACCTTTGTCACATTGATGACCATTGCAGCATCCCTAGGGTCACCTGATCAAAATTCAGATGCTTAGCAATTGACTCCTATCTATGACGGTTGCAGTTTCCCAGGGTCCTGGAATCATCTTTTCTGATAAGCAAGTCAATGTGGAAGTCAGATTCACTTAACAACCGTGTTACAAATTTAACAACTGCAGAAATCAACAAGTGTAGCAAGAAAAGTCATAAAATGGGATAAAACTCACCTAACAACTGTTTCACTTAGTAAAATAAATGTTGGCCTCAATTGTGGTTGTAAGTTGAGGACTACCTCTACATAATTTGGGTCGATAGTGTATATCAAGGCATAAATTTGGCCTGTAGCACACATAATCTACTGCATGGAGATCTTGAAATGGTGGTTTTGATACATCATATGGCAAATTAAAGCCCAACATGGAAAGGAAGATACAGATAGTCCTTGACTTACAACAGTTCATTTAGTGACCGTTCAAAGTTACAGTGGCACCGAAATAATCACCATTTTTCACACTTAGGACCATTGCAGCATCCCCATGGTCACATGATTTACATTCAGATGATTGACAACTGACGCATTTATGACAGCTGCAGTGTTCAAGAGTCAGTTTGTGACCTTCTGACAAGCAAAGTCAATGGGGAACCCAGATTCATTTAACAACCATGTTACTAATTTAACAACTGCAGTGATTCACTTAACAAATGTGGCAAAAAACGTCGTGAAATGGGACAAATTCACTTAACCATTTTTTCACTTAACAAACATACATTTCAGGCTTCATTGTGGTCAATTGAGGACTACCGGTAGCACATATTCAAACCGGCTTTAGAAAAGACTAAATAGCAAGAGATATTAATGCTGACACATGCGCAGGATAATTGTGAAATACGACAACGAAGTAAACATGTCCTCCATTGATTGTAGAAGGGCCTTTGGATGTGTCAGTCATGTCAACCCATGAACAGGGCTTAGAAAAACAGTAATCCCAGAACAAACTGCTCAGAGAGTTCTGTAAAGCACCACAGAGTGGTATATTACCGTATTTTTTAGAGTATAAGACACACTGGAGTGTAACACGCACCAAGATTTTGAAAAGGCAAATAAAAAAAAAAGTTTTTGGACTCGGCAGACCTCCCAAAAAGGCCTGTTTTTCACAAAAATGGCCTCATTTTTTGTCAAAAGGGCATGCATAGCCTTTAGGAGGCTTGTAGAGTGCTCCTGGGGCGTGCCTCCCCAAAATGAGCAAAAAATGGTCTGTTTTTCACTCAAGTTTGCCCTCCCTAGCCCCCAGAAGCACTCAGGAAGCCTCCTAAAGGCTACGCATAGCCATTTTTGCAAAGGGGGGGGGGATTTCGGGAGGCCAAAAATGCTGTATTCAGTGTATAAGACACACCCAGATTTTCACCTTCTTTTTTGAGGGAAAAAGGTGTGTCTTATACTCCGAAAAATACTGTAAGTCTAAGTGCTATTGCTATTGTTATTTCTTTGTGCTTATGTGAAACCTATACATAGGATAGGAAGCCTCAATCCTTGTGGTACCTGGTGAAAAAATAGGCAGCAAGATGTGGGACAAGGCTTTATAATCTCTCCTATTTATTCAAACTGTATGCTGAATATCATCTCCTTTTAATGACCCCATAATCCCTTGCGGGGTGGAGTCTGAATGTTTACTGACCAGATGCCTTCCTGTTGCCAATGAGGAATTATATTCACTCAGATATATTCTAATCGTGCCCAGAGAGGGAAATATCTGCCACTATCTAGGATCGAACTCTGGATCCACCTGGGATCAAACTGTATGCCGAATATGCATTGAGGAAAAGCTGGATGGGAAGAGCATGGTTTTAAAATGGGATGGAAACAACACCTTGTGCTTATATTGAACACAGTTTAACAGCTGAAAATGGAAATGATCTGGAGGCTAAAGTAATAAAAGTCAAGGTGCACAGTAAAAAAACCTGGGACTAAAACACAAAGAAGGTCAAATTAATGACGCCTGGAACAGCAACTAGTTTTGTAATTGATACTGAAAAGGGAGATAGCTTCTGCCTTTTGGGACTGATTATCAGCAATAAAGCATTTGGCATTTAATCATGCTGACCACATGACCACCAAGACATCTTTGGACAGCACTGACTCTTCGGTTTTGAAACGGAGATGAGCACCGGCCTCTAGAGGCAGGAACGACATCAGTGGTGGGTTGCAGGCGGTACGCCCTGGTACGGGCGTACTGGAGCCTGCCCGGAGCACTGGATACCGTTCTGGTACAGTGCTCCAGAGGGCCCCCCCCCGCCTGTGCTCCTTACCTGTCTTTAAAGTCTTCGGTGCTTCCGCACACGGTGCATACAGCACTTGCACGACACTCCGCTGAGCAGCTGGAGCATCGTGGAGGCATCGCTGAACAGTAAGACGCATGCGCATGCTGTGTGTGTGTGCACGCGCTGTGCGCATCCATGTGGATGATGCCGGGCCCGTTCCAACCGTACCGGTTGGATCGGGATCTGGAACCCATCACTGAACGACATATGTGTGAGGGGAACCTTAACCTTTAGAGTAGATAGGTCTTAAAAATGATTCAGTAGAATGCAGCTTGTATTTAATTATGATGCAATTACAAGAGAGCATATTTTGATAGGTTGTTATATTAAATGATTAAATATATTTTGATTAAATATATTTCGCTCAAAACAATGACCAAAATTGTTATAACGAGTCACATGACAGCAATAGCAATAGCACTTAGATTTATATATTGCTCCATAGAGCTTTATAGCACTCTCTGGGTGCTAAAAAAGTCAGCATATGCCCTCAACAATCTGGATCTTCATTTTACCAGCCTCAGAAAGTTGGAAAGCCAAGTTGGGCCACATCAGGATCGAACTCCAGGCTATGGCAGATATTATATTTCTGTGTACCACAGTACCCTTCCCCTTCCTTTACCATTGGCTACTCACCAGTCAGTTCCACATGCATTTCCTCTTCTTGATTGGTGAGGGCATTATAGAAGATTTGGGCTGTGCAGATTATCAGATCGTAGGTCTTTACCACATCTGAGAAGAATAGCTTCTGGAAACTATCACCACAAACAGATGTAATTTGGAATTGATTTTGCAAGACACTGAACTCATTCTTCAGATGTTGGTCAAGTAGAGGCACCTGCCAGGACAAAGTAGCTGTAGTGAAACATTCCCCAGGGAATAAAGCCAGTGCTGGGTTTCACATTTTGTTACCACCGGTTTGCTGCGCGCCTGCCTGCTTCACGCGCGCAGAAAACCGGTCTTCCGTGCATGCGTTTTGCTCTCGTGAACACGTTCCATGCATGCGCCCAGCCCCAGCCTAGAGACTAATTTGATTCTGAACTTAATAACAGCAGCAAGATTGTTGGTGGCGCAGTACTGGAAGAAGGAAGAATTGCCTACTATTCAAGAATGGACATTAAAAGTAGTAAACTTAGCAGAGATGGCCAAAATATCAGCATATTTGAAGGACCATTCAGATGAGAAATACAAGTCGGAATGGAGAAGATGGACTGATTGCTTCTTGTTCTGCCCTCAAGGGCCTTGGAGAATAGCTTGACTCCCTCTTCTTTGGGGCAACCCCTGAGATATTGGAAGGAAGGAAGGAAGGAAG